ACCGCCTGCCTGCTGAGAACCTCTCTTGCTTATATATTCAGTAGTTTGCTTATATGGATGCAATATGTAAAGAGTGTCTGTGGATAAAATGTGTCTTCGCACCGAAATTTCTTGTATACCGCTTGGAAATAAAGGGTTTGTAAACGTTCTTAATGTTAATTCTGTCCCAAAACAACTTAATTCCCCACGAAAACAATACACCAGCTTTCCATTACTGACGCTAAAATGTTGCTGCCCACCGGGAAAATTGGGAAAGCGTAGGGTTAGTTCGTAACTTTTTTTGCTTATCTAATCGACGAAATTCCCGCCATTTTTTCAAACTGGGAGCCTGGCGCCCGGCCAAGACTCGCGCATGCTTATTACGTTTTTCCGCTCTGAAGCGTTCGATTGGTCTGCGCTCTTCCCAGATCCCCCTCGTTCTCGCGCTTCACAAACCGAGAGCCTGGAGAAGGCTATTTACGCCTGTACTTCTTCCCCAAACTACTTGTTCCATTTTGCCACGAAGAATCTTTTTATGCAATGTGTTTGTTAATTTTCGTGGCATTTGACAATATCATATAGATTAATGGCAGGCGAAATTTCGATAATCAGCCGGGTACTGTCCCGGGAGGACGGGGACTCCCAAAAAAAAGGACAGGGGTGTTCGTCGGAGACATTGAAAAGAACCACTAAGAGGTGCCAAGATCCTGTTTTGTAGGCGTGGCTTGAAAATTTTCGCATCTCTAAGAGTTGCCAATTCTAAACCGACACGTTAACAGAAACATTTTCATAGTTTTAAATAGCGATAAAGAAGATTACTTCGAATACCTTCTACTTGTAAAGTTGATTGTCAAAATGTCGTGTCATATTTCTTTGGCTCAATACCCTAAAAGTGCCACGAAAGCTCCCGCTGTGGACCTTTCGAGGCTTAATACCCTAAGAGGTACCAAAACGGCTTTTTGACCCCTAAAAGGTACGACGAGCACCCCCGTCCTTTTCATGTGGGAGTCCCCCCGGGAGGTAATGTTCCTTTAAGTGCTAATAAGTTCATTTTCCACTTCGCGCGAAAATGCCAGTTTGATAAGGAACTTGTAATTACTCAGCTGTTGTTACCTTCTACCTGCAACATACTCTGAGAATCTTTCCTGTGTTGGTGTACTTACTAATCGATGAATTCATCACGCTTCGTGGTAAGCAGTGAGATAATAATGACAACATATAACCTGTCTATTCGCTTGCGATGTAACCTTCTGTAGCAGATGAAGCCTAGAGCGAAAGATGACACAAGTAACAGAATAAAAGCCATGCTGCCAGATGAGATGAAAATTATCGTTTCATTGGAACTGGGGTTGCCCTCCGTCGGTTGACCAGGTTTCGTTATTGTAGGCACTGAAAAATGCAATATTAAAAAGATACCGGCCTTAAAAAATCTGGGCATTTTAGTAATTTGATAGGACTAGATGAGAAATAATTAGATAAATAAAAACTCTTGTTGAGTTAGGAGTCAACCAATACGATGAACTTTTGTAATACAGTCGAACCACCTCTCATAGATGGAAACCACTGGGAGTCCCTCTAGGCATTAATTTATCATTATTTGAGTCTTGATCTTTTTAGATGTTCGCTTAGGAGGAGTTGGTTGGCAAACCCTAACCTAGAAATGGATGTCGCCACCACTTACGAGAGAAATCCAGATTGCCTTTTAGAAAGAAAATCGCCAGGATGCATAGTGCCCGCTTAAGGGCGGGGCCTCTTAATGCAGGTTCAGCTGTAATAGATTGTAGGAAATCATATACCAAAAAAAGATTACTGAGGTCTCTAATGTGTCAAATGACTCGCCTTGGGTGCCCTATGTTGAAAATAAAACACTCTCCAAGGACACAAGTTAGGGCCCTAGGTTCAACGGGTAGAGAGAGAATAGCAAGTCAAAGATTTGGAGATGAAGTTAGTAGAATGTTAGTAGTCTTAGTAGCAGAAAGAAATCCATCTGAAATTTTAAAGTTAGTTTGCTAAGGTATGGTGATCTTCTTAGAAAAGTTCACTTGATATTGCTAAGATCTCCATCTATTATGTCATAAGAACCGTTATCTTCGGTAGCAGATAGCTGTCAAATACTATATAATGGTAAAAAAAAAAACAACGTTAAAAAGTGTGATTCAATATTTGCAATACCTTGATTTATAATTTGCTTTATCTGGGCTTCGTTCAGTGCAACATCGTAAACTTTCATTTCCGTGATTATTCCTTTGAAATATCTTGCATCGTCATCTCTAGCCCCCATTCGAACTTCCTCGGCGTTGGTTGAAATCTCATAACCTGTACCAATGTTTTCCGACTTATTTAAATGTCCATTGATATAAAGAGAGTTGAGTCCGGTGTCATAATCGTAAACTGCCGCAACACGAGCCCACGCTCCTGCTGGAAGAGCGTCACTTGACGCTATACTATGAGCTTGACCATTGTTTCTGATGTTTATTAGTTTGAATCTGCCCGTCTCAATCCATAACTGGATCCCACCGCCATCTTTTCCGTAACTGAATAATGGTCCATCTTGGCCTCCGGGTTGAACCCAGCACATCAATGTAATTGAGAACCGAGTGTCCAGGCCCCCTTTATTCGGGAACTCGATGTAGCTGCTAACAATGCCATAAAACATGTAAGCTCCGCCTGGTTCGTTGTAGGGTCCGTTTGTTATCGCAACATCCCCCACGATTCCCTTTGGCTGCCTGTTCTCTTTTTCTGCGGCTTTATAGCGTTCATTCAAGGGGTAGAAGGCGACAGGTTCTGGCACAGCTAAGAGTAAAACAATAACAACAATTAAACTTTTATTTGCATCTTTAAAAAGGATATGAAAGTACGATAGCAGTGGAAACATAATATAGCATACTCATTTTTGTGTTTTTTGTGATTATTTTGATTATGGTGTTGGGGTGCCTTTGTTAGCCAGTTTCAGACAAAGGAGGAATTTAACCCTTCCTGATATAGCTCTCGTTAAGACTTACGGTATCATCAGTACAACCGTTGGGGATATTAACTAGACTTGCCACAAGTCGACCTTTGCCTAATCTTCTCTTATTCATCTCCCTCGAGCGAAGCGAGAGGGCAATCTTCACGACGAAGTCGTGAGCCCGAGCGACAGAAGTGGCGAAAGGTCGGCGTCCTTTCCAACAGCGAAACCAACAGGCCAGGGAAGGATTATAGAAAAGAACTTTTAGAAAGTCTAGAAATTAACGTAATGTCGAGGCATAGTTAAAAGAGGGAATGGTTAAGAAGCTT